CTAATCTACATAAACAATTCAAAAATCAGCCAAATCGGATATAATAACTTTTTAGTATGCTTCCCTACTGAATGGTAGTATACTATAGTATGCATTTGTTGCTGAGGATCCATACCGTAAAAGTTCAAACTAAAGAGTGTCCCACCTAGCGTTTCAAATTTAAACTAACGATAATTGGACACTGGAGACGTTAACTGTCATCGGAGAAGTGTTACATATTTATTAATAAGTCCGACATTTACGAAATGGGTTGCTATTCGCTTGAGGAAATATGGGAAATATTAAAAATATATATTCAAAGTGATGAGTGAGTTAGTCTCCAATGCAAAGTGTGCGAAATTTGAAAAAAATATTTGCCAAAAATTATTTTACATCGGACACCCGTGCCACACTATAGTATAATACAAATATTTATTTAAATATTAATATAAATATGTTTATAAGACATATAAATCTTATAAAAGAAAGTTCATGTCATTTAAAAATGAAAATATAAGAAATTTTGTATATCATAATATGATATTATTTTTTCTTATATTCGATGAAAAAAAAAATACATTATTTTTATCCAACATTTTCTAAAATTCAGAATGGGAACACGTAAAAGTATTACCCAGTACTCGTTAAGAACCAATTTCCAAATTTTATCTCAATTTAAAGACTTACATTTTTTACACATCCTTCTTTTTATTTAATTTGCAATAATGAATCTTACACACGTATTAAAGCTTATGTAAGTGCACACTATTACACTATAGTGCACAAAATGTTTAAGAAAATATTTTTTAATAAAATTTTAACTTGATATTTTGTACTAGAAAGTACTTAATTTTGAAAACAACTTTTAAAATATTTAAGCTTAAAAAAGCAGGTTCTGTATTCTAAATTACAAAGGAGAAACCATTCAACAAACGAATTTTAAATTCACTTTCTTAAGAAGGCGCATAAAATTTGATTAAATTTGAAATTCCTTTGTACATCTATTGTATGCAGTTGATTCTACCCGACTATTCTGCTTAATAAATTTCTTTGTTAAGTTTTCAAGTTGGTCCTATCTCTGTTACCCTTTTTTGTGTACAGTAAAACCTCGATTTTCGAGGATTGTCGCGAGGGCAGCTTTCTACATAGCTATTCAATCTAAGGTGGGGTAGATTCTATGTGATTTTGTTTTCAATGAAAGCTTAACAGCGTAAATTAAGGTTCAGACGCCGGCAATCCTTTTCCTTTTTCTTTTTATATTTTTCAGGTTCAAATATTCATAAAAAAAAGTCCTGTTTATAAAAAAAATAACCAAAAAAAACTATAATGTATAAAAAAAATATATATATTAAATAAAAATATAACCAGAATATTTGGAACTACCGGTTATAAATATGTGGAGTTCTACTGTAATTCTAAGCTGGGCTGTTAATCTATTGGAATAGATTTTGTAATTCTCTGTAATTTTTTTTCCAACTTGAGAGAGTCACCCAACTGCTGAATACCTTCAGTCAACTAAAAATGCTGATTTCGCAACTTTTTACAACGAAAAATATACGGGTATCCCAATAATGTTTTTGGGGTTGGTAACGGCTATATTTTCAACAAGCAATGAGACATATCAACTCTTATGTGTTTTTATACCCGGGCTTTGGAGACTACAAGCGTATATTGTGTTTTTGTAAATGTATGTAACTTAGAGAAAGAATCATCTCCCAAGCTCCAAAAAGAATATAAGACATACAACTATAGAAATTGGCATGGAGACTTCTATACTCTCGCAGTTCAAGATTGTTTTAAATTTTGCGACGGCCTCTCCCGCCAACACAAATTGCATATTTCTGTAGCGACAATACAGAAAGGTCTCATACATACCTAAACAATCCTAAACAAAAGTTATTTTTGGCGCAGAAGTTATTTAAGAAATACGACTTTTAATCCTTTTTCCAAATGAAGTAAGAAAGGAAAGCTAACTTTGGGCGGATCCGAAGTTAATATACCCTTGCAGTTATGATCGGATATAAATCGTTATGAGAATTTTATTATAAAACAATTTTATTATGGTTTACAAAAGTCCCAAGTTTCTATCTTTAAAAATACTAAAGTTGGTATTTTTACCAAATACAAAATACCATTTCCAATCGTCTGAGTCTGATTGCTATGCATTTAAGTTGGTCGTCTAATGTTCTGCCGACTATATCCTATAGCTGCCATATGCTATAACTATGCTATAACTATATTCTAACCATATAAAATATCGGAAATACCCCAACTTCCTCGTTTTTGGAAGATAAAAGGTTGGAACATTATACACATTTTATATTTTTTGCCAATTAATACGACCTACCTTTATATCAAAATATGATTTACGATTCTACGATTATACCTACGAATAATATCCGATCATAGCTGCAAGGGTATATCAACTTCGGCTCCGACCGAAGCTACATAGCTTTCCTTGTTGGTGGTTAAATTTATTACTTTCAAATCAAATAAAACCGAATAATTTCAACGGAAGTATACACTTACTTTTTAAAGCCATGAAATATGTTATGGACAATGTGCCACTGGTATTATTGCCATAATAAAAATTTATTTCTTTTGTTTTATTGTAATTAGATTGATTATATAAAAATAGTTTAGGAACTGAAACAGCATAATTTTAATTACTTGTTACTTAAAAGTTGTATTAAAATAAAGATGTATCATAATATTTTCTGGATTTTCAAAGTTCTGGACTTAAATCCTTAAAAAACATTTTTCCGGGACTTTACATACCGCAGAGTTGCGATAAAGATGACAAATCAAATATATATGAATAGGATCCGTAAGACCTCCTTAGTCGATATAAGCATTAAAGTCTGTTTGTAGACAGAGATACCCATATAAAAATTAAACAATAAAATGTATGGAACAAAACCTTATATTAGGAATTTATACAAACTTTGTAATTTAATATCGATTTTTGTACCAGTGCACTATGGTTCAGACAACCTCTTTTTGTGAAAAAAATTAGCAACTCGAGAACGGGACTATTATTTTTATACCCTTGCAGAAGGTATTATAATTTTGTCCAAAAGTGTACATCGCAGTGAAGGAGACATCTCCGACCCTATAAAGTATATATATTCTTGATCAGGATCACCTCCTGAGTTGATATGAGCATGTCCGTCGGTCCGTCTGTCTTTCTGTTTCTACGCGAACTAGTCTCTCAGTTTTAAAGCTATCGACTTGAAACTTTGCACACACCCTTCTTTCCTTTGCACGCAGTATATAAGTCGGAACGGGCCGGATCGGCCGACTACATCTTATAGCTGCCATATAACTGAACGATCGAAAATGACCCAACTTTCGTGTTTTAGAAGACAGAAAGCTGAAACTTAGTACAAATTCTATTTTAGGTCAGATAATCCGACCTACCAAATTTCATAAGGATCGGCCGACTATATCCTATAGCTGCCATATAACTGAACGATCGGAAATAACCTAACTTTTGTGTTTTTGAAGATAGAAAGCTGGACCTTGGTACAGATTTTAGATTTGGTCAGTTAATCTGACCTTCCAAATTTCATAACGATCGGTCGACTATAACTGCCATATAGTCGACCTATATCTGCCAGCTATAGTATCTGCCGACTTATAGCTGCCATATAACTGTACGATCGGAAATGGTTTTTGGTAGAAATATCAACTTTCGTATTTTTGAAGATAGAAGTTTGGGACTTTTTTTAGATTTTGTTTTATAATAAATTGGGTTATATTATCATATTCTTACAAGGATCGGCTAACTATATCCGATGTTTGCGATTTATATCCGGTATATAAACTTCGGCTCCGCCAGAAGTTAGCTTTCCTTTCTTGTTTTTTAGATATTGTATTGGAATTAGTTGGTTTTATTATGATATTCTCATAAGGAGCGGCCAACTATATCCGATTTTTGCGATATATATCCGGTTTTATGGGCATATAAACTTCGGTTCCGCCCGAAGTTAACTTTTCTTTCTTGTTTTACCTGGTACTCGTAGAATGAAGAGGCATATTGTGCGAATTTATGTAACATAAAGAAGGAATTATCTCCGACCCCTAAAAGTATATATGTATGTATATTTATGATCAGCATCAAAAGCCGAGTCTATATAGCCATGTCCTGTCTGTCCAATAGAGCTATAAAAGTAAAAACAAGAAAGAAAAGCTAACTTGATATACCCTTGCAGTTAAAACCGGATATATATCTCAAATATCGGATATAGTTGGCCGATCCTTATGATTACATCATAATAAAACCAATTAATTTAAATAAAAAATCTAAAAAAAAGTCCCAAGCTTCTATCTTCAAAAATACGAAAGTTGATATTTCTACCAAATACCATTTCCGATCGTTCAGTTATATGGCAGGTATAGGATATAGTCGGCCGATCCTAATGAAATTTTGTAGGTCGGATTAATTGACCAAAAATATAATCTGTACCAAGTTCCAGCTTTCTATATTCAAAAACACAAAAGTTGGGTCAATTCCGATCGTTCAGTTATATGGCAGCTATAGGATATAGTCGGCCGATACTTATGAAATTTGGTAGGCCGGATCAACTGACCAAAAATATAATCTGTACCAAGTTCCAGCTTTCTATCTTTAAAAACACGAAAGTTGGGTCATTTCCGATCGTTCAGTTATATGGCAGCTATAGGATATAGTCGGCCGATCCTTATGAAATTTGGCATGTCGTTTTGCCAAAAATAGCTCACATGTCAAATTTGAAGTCTCTAACTCTAAAAACACCAAAGTTATACCATTTGCGATCAATCAGTTATATGGCAGCTATAGGATATAGTCGGCCGATCCCGGCCGTTCCGACTTATACACTGCGTGCAAAGGAAAGAAGGGTGTGTGCAAAGTTTCAAGACGATAGCTTTAAAACTGAGAGACTAGTTTGCGTAGAAACAGACAGACGGACAGACGGACATGCTCATATCAACACAGGAGGTGATCCTGATCAAGAATATATATACTTTATAGGGTCGGAGATGTCTCCTTCACTGCGTTGCACACTTTTGGACAAAATTATAATACCCTCTGCAAGGGTATAAAAATGTAACTTATAAAACCATGCGGTGAAAGTTTTATATGCAAAAGACTTGTAGGGCCTAGAAAATTTGTATCAACGAGATTTGTATCAAATTCAATAGCAGCAGAGGGCCGGCAGAATTGGTTCGCCTAGTTTGTTAGGTATTATTTCATATTTCGTTCGTGTTGTTCGAACAATATATGACGCCCTGAAAAGGTAACGACATGAATTTCAGTACTGCAGGTAGCCTTCTTTCTGCTATTCGTTACTAAAACTAATGCTTTAAAATTTTATTAATGTATTAAGTGTCGACCACTGCTCTAATTAGATCATTTTTAGATTGAAAAATTTTCAAAAAACAGTCTATGGGAAGATACTGTCCAAACTGTCCAGGAAGGATCCAAACAAAGTTTGGAGGAAATTTACGCAAAATTAAAGGTATTTTGATTCACAAAATTTGTGGAAGGGGGAATATCCGATATTTGCAATATATATCTCATCCAATATATGTATATCTTATAATATAAACTGCAACTTAACTACAGGGGCTATTCTTTCTTGTTTAAAAGTATTTTAGGTATAGACTTCATACTATTGAGTAATTGTGGAGAAAATTTAAACATCTTTGTAATAAATATTCTAGGTAAAACTTATGATACATTTAATTATTCAAGTTTATATATTGATTGATAAATCATTCTGTCTTTACTTCTCAGCAATAAGCATCAAAATCTTATTCATAAGTTCATTGGCAACCGTCTCGTGCAAAGTGTTCAACCGAGCGGTTAGGAAGTCTCCAAATTTGATGTAGAGCAGCTCTCTAGGGCTCCGGAAGGGATGCGACTGCGAGTGATTAAGGCGCCTGTTGTCCTCAATGTAACTACTGTCAGGTGAAAGACAGTCGTCTCGGCTCATCATGTCCACGTCGACAGTTGGGGAGCATTGCCCTGTTGGGTCGTCCTCTTCGTCAAATGCATCCAGTTCCTCATCAAGATCACCAGCATCCGCATCAATAAGCTCATTATTGGAATTAATAATAAGGTTTGGGGGCGACGTGGCATACAACGAAGAGTGCTTGGTCATAGGTAGCAATCGCGCCTTAAGCTGCTGCTTCGTTTGGGGTCGGATCGTTGCCAACTTCTTTGTCGTCTGAGGTCCATTTCCCGGATCATCTCGAATCTCCACCCTATCCGGCGAGTGTGGTTCGTCCTTGACGTAAATGGATGGCGAGGAACTACAGGAGCGCGAGCAGGACAGTACCTGGACTGGTGAGTTAGTTGGTATGGTCACGGACGTAGGCCGGGATAGGGGCGTGACCGCTGGCTTCTGGGATGCATTTACGGAAGTCAATGTTATATCTGGTTGCAAGTGAAGGGCTTGCAAGTGTTGAGCTTGATGCTGTAAAGAAGTGGGTAGCTCACTGAAGTTCACACTTAAACTCGTCGTCAGGCTATCCTTTGGGTCTGGGTCTGTGGGACGTATTTGTTTATGGGGTACTGGCAGATTGTTTGGATTGTTGGGATCGCTTGGCGCAAAGTATTGGTACTCATCCAAGATGGCACTGCTGCTGTTATTGTTGCTGCTGTTTCGGCTGGCAATGTTTTTGTTATTGTTGGCTAAAACTGGAGCCGGTTCATGTTTTATGCGCTCACGGGATCTGAAAAGTTAGAAATCTGACAGATTTTGGAAAAATTCATTGCTTTACAGAAGAGGCATAAAAAATATTTAATTTCCATAATAAGAAAATATTTCCGGTTTTTATATGTTTTAAAAGCGATTTGGGAAAAACTAGTCGACAACGATTTGGCAAGAAGCGTCTTTAACTTTGAAAATACTAATCATATCATTATAATAAGAACTAACTAACATATCAACTAATGTTTCACAAAATGCGTTACCCAATCGAAACTGAATACACAAGAATATGCATATCTATATAGATATGCATTCTTGCATTGCACACTATTATCAAAACTATAATACCCTCCCAAATATTATAAAAAGTTCACGAAAAAATAACTTTATGCTTTATGCTCCTAAACATATATTCTTGTTTAGGATCACCTCCTAAGTTGAAATAACCATTTCCGTTTGACCGTCTGTCAGTCCTTCTGTACCCTCTCAGTTTTTAAGATAGCCACTTACAAATTTGCACAAGTCCTTTTTATACTAGGTACTCGTAGAGTTGAAGGGCTTATTGTAGTCGTGTGAATGTAAGTAACATAGAGAAGAAATCATCTCCGACCTCATAATGTATGTATTCTTTATCAGCATAAACAGCCGAGTCGTTATAGCCATGTCCGTCTGTCCGTATAAACGCGTGGATCTCAGAAACTATAAGAGATAGAGCTATACAATTTGGCGGAAAGACCCGTACAATGCCCACGCAGTTCAAGGTTGTTTCATTTTGCCCCACAAATTGCAAATTTTTGTAGCGACAGTACAGAAAAAAACAAATTTTTAATTTTTGGAAAAACTTTTGATGCCAAACTATTTCTATAGTTTTAATATACATATACGCATGAATATCAAAGACAAAAGGAGATAGAACAGGTAAAGGTTGTGTCAAAATTTTCCCATGCCCATCTCGTTGCAGTTAATGTTTTTGGAAATCGGATAATTTTTAGAGGGGTTGTAGAATTTTTATGCTTCTCTACTAATAGGTACATAGTATGACCTACGTTTGTTGTTATTGTTTTGCCCAAGCGCAAAAATATGCAACAAAAATCGGTTGCTGAGAATGTATACCTGGAATTGTTGGTGGAAGAGATCAGTACCATGTACAATATATTGTCGGAAAACTCGACTATTGCGGTCTTTTCTTGTTTCCTTTGCAATCAGTATATAAGCCAGAACGGCTGACATCTCCTTTGCAATCAGTATATAAGCCAGAACGGCCGACATCTCCCGATAACATCCTGTAGCTGCTATGGGACTGGACTGAACGATCGGAAATGACTCTTTGTTGTTTTTGTAGGTGAACCCTTCTCAAAAGGACCAGGTTACTGATTTTTTTTTATAACTACTAACTAATAAACTAAATTTTATAATGAACAATCTATGAAAAAAAAAAATTATATCACCAAAATAATTTCTAGACCGGTGACGAACGCCCTATGCATAAAATATCTTAATAGTATTGGTAACGAAAAAATACAACATAGTTATTCAAAGCTACACATTAAATAATATTCTTATTAGGCATTTAGTTTGAAAAAAAATTTAAGTTAAAACAATAGATGTGTTGCACTTTTTGAATTCTTATACTGTGAGAAACGAAATCCAAAACTGACAAGATATTCCTATTCAATTGACGAGGAGTATAAGTCGAAACGACAATTCTGAAAATATATAGGGGTCATACTTTCGCTCGCGTATAACTTCCTTAAGGAAGGCCATTGAGTCATAGTACTCCCACTTTGATTTGAACCGCGAAGTTCCCAGCATCTTTTCATGGTTGAGCTCGCGTCTGAATATTTCACGGAGCGATGTAAAGGTTCGCTGTACCCGTTCCCCATTCACATTGAATAGTCGTCCAAGTTCGTTCCATTTAATAGCCTTTTTTTTATCCGAGCGTTTGTAGTGGGGCAAGCGACAATCCCACAGGATAGGATTGAGGCGCACTAGCTCAATAAGTCGGCGCTTCTCAATATTGTGCCGGGAAAATGCCATAGCAATTTCTCTTCAAACAGATTTAGTTATATCTCTTTAATGTTGTAGTCCCTGTTAACCAAACTGTCACTACCAATTTGGCTTTTGCGCATGTCCTTTAAGAGTTCTTTACTTCGGAACGGACGGCACTGTAAGTCTGGATGCTGTTCTGCAAAATTGCTAGGGAAGAAAATGAGAAAATTATTATTATTAACTTGCTCCTTGACTGCCGGTCATTATAATAGCTGTGGGTTTTTAAGAGGTTGGTATCATTTTGTTTAGTTTTTTGGGCCACAGTGCAATGACCTTATCATCCTGTTTTGTTTGAGGAATTATTAATTATTTTAAAGATTGCTATACAAATAATAAATAGGCGAAAACGAAAAATGGAGTAATTTCTAACAAAGAAAAAAAAACTATGAAAATAAAATTCCCAGGATATAAAAAAAGGAATAATAAAATGAATGTTTGCCGTTCTCCCCCCGCGATTTAATTTTGCAGCGTGCCCCACACGCGGAATTCGCATAAGTGAAAGATGAAGTATGAGTTATTTAAACAATGAGTGTTTTTGTATATAATGAAAACATTGGTTTTCAGAATAGACATTTATATGTTTGTATGTGATTGGACTCGGTACGAGTATATTTTTATTGCTGGTTTACGAACCTACCAAATTTTACTGGGCTACAAAATTCTACCAATTTTGTATCTTTTTTGGCTTAAGGCAGCATCTTTTACCTTTCTTAGATTTTTCCAATTTGAGAGAACTTGTTTCCAATCCGAATTTGATTCTCCGTCACACGCAAATCTTAATGGCGCAGAGAATTTTCACTAAACATGCATAGATACAAACTGCTTATACCACTATGTGGTGAAAGATTGTCTGATTCGTGGGTTATAAAATTACCGCTTTTTAAATATCAAAATTTCTTAAGCTCTTCCAGATTTGTTATTACACCAATTCCGTTGGCGCCTAGCACTGAACTAAACACCACATTTGGTCACAGTTTTGTTTATGACGGTGCAGCGATGGTCGGGTTTCGGTAGCTGTTGTTATTGCTCCGCTTCGGTTGCTCTTTATTAACAATATCAGCAGTCAAGACGAGGAATTTATTTCAATTTATTTCAATTAACAACAAATGCTGTAGCCGTTGTGGATGCTGCCATGCGTCGCAGTTCTGCCACTAGCATTGAAGAAACTGTTGATTTTGTGAGTATTTTGTGTATTTGTATTGTATTGTGTGCGGCTCAACGACCTTGCTAAAACTGTTTCCTACCACAGTTTATAAACGGGGACGAATTTACAATGATGCCACACGGCTAACCGACAATTTATGAGCAATATGTAAGTGGCGAACGCGGAGAGAGAGCAGATAGCCTTATCTACGCGAGAAGTTAGGAAGACCAATCAAAACTTATATTATTTTCACCAAATCTGGACCTTTACTAAGCCTTTGTACAAGTGTACATGAAATCACATTTGGTACTTCAATTGCCACTTGCCATTTGGAGTTTTGACAACTTCCTGCAGAGAGAGCGCCTCTTCTCTTCCTAAAATTTTCACAACTTATTCACAAACGAACTGTAAACGAACTCAATTGCCTCGCAAATTGACTGCGTTGCAGCAGTCGTGCGAAAAGAGAACAGCTCTACATACGTCAATTTGCTCTGGCCTTTCGATTCCAATGAGTTTCAGAGAGCATTCTCTTGTTCCCCAAAATAGTGGGGATGCTTTTTTTTTCGTCTACGATTGTGTAAACAATTCCCCAATGCGCTGCTGCCAATGCGTAAATATTTTTGCAGTGGTACGCTTATCGGCGCACTTTGTGGCAGTGGCATGTTTATCGCCGTTCTACGTCGAGCAAACAATCTCGGACTGTAAGTGTACGCAGAAATTGTTTAGCACAGCCAAAAGTCTTATCTAATACCACTACTAAAGTGTTTTCGAGCTCTGCATGAACCGCAAAATTATAAGCCAAGATATAACAATATATAGTAAATAATTTTTCTTGTGGATTATAAACCATTTCATTTACAATAAAAATGCCGGCTTTAAGATCTTGTAGGACTTTGTCGACTTTTTTGGGAAAAGTTCGTCCAACTTTGTCATATGACAACAATTAATAAGATATAAAGACACAAGTTTGATACATAGAATAGTATTAGGGCGCTTGATAAAAGCAAATAATTAATTTTGAATAGCTATTTTTGGCAGATACAAAAGTATCTTCAAGGAATACCGATGAATAGAACTGGAGTTTCAAGTAAAAAAAAGTAGTTTTGAGTGTGTCGTACAAGAATATTCTTTTAAATGTGTATCTGTCCGTATGAACGCGTGAATCTCACAGACTATAAGAGATAAAGATATTGGATTTGGCATGGAGATACATACCTATAATGCCCACGCAGCTTAAGTTTGATTCATTTGTGCCCTCTTCCGCCCCCATGTTTAGCGCCAGTAGTACTGGCCCAGTACCGGAAGATTTTTTATGATGCAAACTATAAAAACTAGTAAATTTATATCTTTAAAAGATGTAATAAGAATCTCGTTTTAGCGCCAAATCATTAATGTTTTGATGCCCAACCGTTCCAATAGCTAATCTTAACAAATCAAAATTCATTCAAATCGGACAATTTTTAGGGGAGTTATAGACTTTTTGTTAGTAGGCTGTATTAGAAGCCTTCGTTTTTTTCCCCAAGCGCAAAAGTATGCAACATAGATTTAAATGATAACTAAAGGATTTAGGTGTGAAATCTTAATTATACCCTTGCAGAGGGTATTATAATTTTGTCCAAAAGTGTGCAACGCAGTGAAGGAGACATCTCCGACCCTATAAAGTATATATATTCTTGATCAGGATCACCTCCTGAGTTGATATGAGCATGTCCGTCTGTCCGTCTGTCCGTCTGTCCGTCTGTCTGTCTGTCCGTCTGTCTGTTTCTACGCAAACTAGTCTCTCAGTTTTAAAGCTATCGTCTTGAAACTTTGCACACACCCTTCTTTCCTTTGCACGCAGTATATAAGTCGGAACGGCCCGGATCGGCCGACTATATCCTATAGCTGCCATATAACTGATTGATCGGAAATGGTATAACTTTGGTATTTTTAGAGTTAGAGAGTTTAAATTTGACACGAGAGCTATTTTTGGCAAAACATTACGACATGCCAAATTTCATAAGGATCGGCCGACTATATCCTATAGCTGCCATATAACTGAACGATCGGAAATGACCCAACTTTCGTGTTTTTGAAGATAGAAAGCTGGAATTTAGTACAGACTCTATTTTTGGTCAGTTGATCCAACCTACCAAATTTCATTAGGATCGGCCGACTATATCCTATAGCTGCCATATAACTGAACGATCGGAAATGGTATTTGGTAGAAATATCAACTTTCGTATTTTTGAAGATAGAAGTTTGGGACTTTTTTTAGATTTTGTATTGTAATAAATTGGAGTATATATTCCTATTCCCATAAGGATCGGCCAACTATATCCGATGTTTGCGATATATATCCGGTTTTAACTGCAAGGGTATATAAACTTCGGCTCCGCCCGAAGTTAGCTTTCCTTTCTTGTTTATATATATTATTAGTTAGTTTTTGTGTATGTATATTGTAGGAATTGATGAGGTTGTTTTTGTTAATAGGTGAATTCGGAAACCCCTTTTAAAGGATACATTTGTAAAATTCGAATAGAGAAACAAACAAATTTCACCTAGATTTTACATTAATATTTATACTGTGTTATAGAGTTCTACGCAAACGCCATAGAAAATAACATACATTTGCTTCAATTTTTTCTAAAATTCTTAATTAAATAACTTTTATTTTTTTCATCCAATCTTGACAACATTTGTAGGATATCTTGAAAATATGAAAAAGGATTTGTGGTTTAAATCTCAATTCATTACTCGGTGCCCGCCCTATAGCTGCCATATAACTGAACGATCGAAAATGACCCAACTTTCGAGTTTTTGAAGATAGAAAGCTGAAACTTCATACAGATTCTATTTTTAGTCAGATAATCCGACCTACCAAATTTCAGTCGGTCGACTATATCTTATAGCTGCCATATAACTAAACGATCGGAAATGGTTTTTGGTAGAAATACCAAGTTTCGTTAGTTTCTATAGTTTAGTTTCATATATAGTTAGTTTCTGTGATTGAAAAAAAGTTAAGATTTTCACGATAAAAAACGTCACAAAATTGTTGATAAAAAAAAGTAAGCAATATATAAAAAAAATCATAAGTGTGTCGATAGACAAAGGTATTTTAAATATACTGTCAAAATTCAATCGATCGGTTAAGATTTGGTCGAGTTATGTTTTCGGCAGTCTAAAAAAAATTGGTTTCGAAATAAACGCGCTTAAAGTTTAAACTTAAAACTTTTAAGTACTGTAGGATATACCCGTGAGGCATCGCCGCAGAATGGAAAATTTCGACACTTAGAAACACTTAGCCGGACTCTATCTTTTGATATGTTATTTTTAAGACCCTAAAGAATTTTTTAAGCGAAAAAATAATTTGTCGATTTTTTCAAACTTCTACTTAGATGTCCCCCCTTAAAACATTGCCAAAACATTTCCCTAAAACATTAATAAAAGTTAAAGTGAATCGCGAACGCGATAAAATTGCAAAGTGACAAAATGTACATAATTAATTATTAGATGTACTGATTTTCAACTAATTTGGTCGGCTTTGTTTGGAAATGACAGCACCCAATCGTCACATGCACAATGCACTTAACCGCGAGTTGAAGAGGGAACCAAGTTACGACATTGTCTTTAATTGGTTCGCACAATTAAATCAACAACAAAAAATTGCAACCGACATTTTGATAGGAGCTGTGAACCGTGGATCTGGTGAAATTTATTTCCTTGATGCTACCAGAGGAATGGAAAAAACGTTCTTAATTTCATTGCTGTTGGCAAGGATCAGATCGCGAATTGATGTTGGTCTGCGAATTGATGAAAGCGCAAATGTGTTTGGGAAGTAGTTGTTAGACATTGGAAATAATAAAGATTTAATGGCCACCTGTACCGGATTCATCACATTTACCCACAGATTCAAAAGAGGTGCTTATTCCGCGTGTTTAATATTGGCAGCGAAAAATAAAAATATCGAGGATCCCATTGCGGTTATTCAGAATTTTCTTCCAGGACAGTTGGTTTCTTTTAAATTTTGGAGTTCTTAAATTAACGATCAATCATAGTGCTTAACATTAATCAACTATGTAATAGAATAAGACTAGCTGTGAAAAAGCTGATGAATAAAGTCATTGAGGCAACAATCATAAAAGGAAAATCTTAGTTGGCCGATCCATATGATAATATAAACCAATTTATTTTAATACAAAATCTAAAAAAAGTGCCGAACTTCTATCTTCAAAAATACCAAAGTATTTCTACCAAAAATCATTTCCGATCGTTCAGTTATACGGAAGCTATAAGATATAGTCGTTATGAAATTTAGTAGGTCGGGTTAACTGACCAAAAATAGAATCTGTGCTAAGTTCGGATCAGATCGGCTCAGATCGGTCGGAAATGGTATAACTTTGGTGGTTTTAGAGTTAGAGAGTTCAAATTTTACACGAGGCAAAACATTACGACATGCCGAATTTCATAAGGATCAATCGACTATATCTTATAGCTGCCATATGACTGAACGATCGAAAATGACCGAACTTTCGTGGTTTTGAAGATAGAAGATGAAGATGAAACTTAATACAGATTCTATTTTTGGTCAGTTGATCCAACCTACCATATTTCATTAAGATCGGCCGACTATATCCTATAGCTGCCATATAACTGAACGATCGGAAATGGTATTTGGTAGGGATCATGGAACTTGGGATTTTTTTTTAGATTTTTTATTTTTATTAATTGGTTTTATTATGATGTAATCATAAGGATGGTTGCGATTTTTGCGATATATATATATATATTTGGGCTCCGCCCGAAGTTAGCTTTCCTTTCTAGTTATACCCTTGCAGAGGGTATTATAATTTTGTCCAAAAGTGTGCAACGCAGTGAAGGAGACATCTCCGACCCTATAAAGTATATATATTCTTGATCAGGATCACCTCCTGAGTTGATATGAGCATGTCCGTCTGTCCGTCTGTCCGTCTGACCGTCTGTCCGTCTGTCTGTTTCTACGCAAACTAGTCTCTCAGTTTTAAAGCTATCGACTTGAAACTTTGCACACACCCTTCTTTCTTTTGCACGCAGTATATAAGTCGGAACGGCCCGGATCGGCCGACTATATCCTATAGCTGCCATATAACTGAACGATCGGAAATGGTACTTGGTAGAAATATCAACTTTCGTATTTTTGAAGATAGAAGTTTGGGACTTTTTTTAGATTTTGTATTTTAGTAAATTTGTTTTATTATGATGTAATCATAAGGATCGGCCAACTATATCCGATGTTTGCGATATATATCCGGCTTTAACTGCAAGGGTATATAAACTTCGGCTCCGCCCGAAGTTAGCGTCCTTTCTTGTTTTTATTATCATTTCGTATAGTGAAAAATATGAAACGAATTAACGTTTTCAAAATAATGATGATGCAGACTTAGGCGGCTAGGAAAAATAATATCAAATCATTTTTAATGTTGGTTTTTTTTTTTTTTTTTTTTTGTAAATTTTGGTTTTTCAAGATCGTTTTTTTTTTTTACTAACACCTTAAAATAACCATTCTAGGCTTTTTTATTTTAAAAAAAATTGTTACAAAATAATTTTTTGTTTTTCATATTTACATCTTAGTCTACACGTAGTATATCTACACTTAGAAGAAAGAAGCTCTACGACTATTTATTTTGTTTTAAATCTTTTAATTCCTTTTTCAATACAAGAATCGGAAAAATATTATACCATTATTTTTGCCATTTTCTTGAACAAATTTAATATTGATGTTCAAATTTCTGGTCAAAAGTGGTGCAAGAAAATATTTCATCACAACCGTCACGCTATTGTATTTTTCAAAGAAGCCTCTTCCTAAAAAAATATCAAAATACGCTATTTTGAGCTGCACAACTAAACATAGACCTATAAGATAAATTAACTATATGATATTTTACATTCAATTGACGTTTTGCACCCTTATAGTCAATCAATTTAAAATGACTTTAACTATCAAATGCCGTGTTTCACGTAAATATTTATGGCAGAGTTATGAGAAAATGAAGTTTCAGCTCACTGAAAGCCTCGAATGTCTCTAACAAACGAGAATGATTGTAATTTGAGAAATTGTTATGGTCATCCATTTTCTTTTAAAAGGTATTTTTATACCCTTGCGGAGGGTATGAATATTTAGTAAGGAGTTTCTTCTAAGCGTTACTAAACCTTGCTTGCAGTATATAGAAGTTGTTTCAAATTGGTTTGCCACTCCCATTTCTTCTTTCTAAGCGTTACTAAACCTTGCTTGCAGTATATAGAAGTTGTTTCAAATTGTTTTGCCACTCCCATTTCTGCCCCACAAATCGCAAATATAAATTATATTATAGTTAATTTGTATCTCAAAAAAAAAATTTCATCCGAATCGGCCGATTTTTAGACGAGATATTCCCATATATACAAAAGATATATACAAAAGCGTTACCATTTTAAACGCATGGATATCAAAGACTATAAAACTATCCGATTTTGACTTAAAACTTTCCACACACCAAACTTCCAATATTTTGTTATCGGTCAACACTATTCATGTTCAATAGGAAACCGCAAGTTAAGAAAAATAATATTACGACGAATTAAGAGAAAAAACCGTAATTTGCACTATACTATATGTTCTAGAATTTTTAAAACTGGAGGAAACAGTTCAAATTTTTTGTCGCACCTTGAAAATAAGCACCAGGCTGCATACAAAAAATGTATGTAAAACAAAATGTATGCAAGGTATGTATGCATATGTATGTATGCAAAAGAGGTTGTGTGATTTTTCATTTTAAAATATAATTTTATACGGTGAAAGATATTAAGAGATTCTCGAAAGTAAAGCGTATTGTCACCTATTTTAAATACAGCCCAACCGCCATGGGTGTTTTAAGAAAGCTTAAAATTGATGAAGGCGTTCCAGAAAGATGCATTAGGAGTTGAACTCAAAACATAGACACCAGGTGGAATTTTCGTCTAGATATGCTGATTTACATATGTACTTATAATAAAATCGCACTTATAAACTGATCAAAAGTCCATTAAAATCTTGCCAATAATGCTATCAGAGCATGACATGTGTCGTGATTCTTGCGACCTTTTAAAACCTTTTAAAGAGGCGACGGAAAGAGTTAGTGGCGAATATTACGTGACTGTCGCTAGCAAAAATACAAAAGACAGTAATCGGGAGACGGCATGCTTATGAAGGGTGTTCTCATAGAAATATCTAATGAATGCAACCGGATTGAGCAAAAACAACATTTTAATTAAAGCTTCAATATTGGGCCTCAAAAAAATTTACATTCTTCCTACAATGTTGTTGGAAACCTCAAAGGACATTCTAGAGGAGATGCAACTTATTAGCGAAGAAAAGAGAGTACGTAATTTACTATTATTAGCTAAGATCTTTACTACTTCATTTTTAATAAATGCTTATAGCGCTTGTCAAACTGGCAACCGCCGGAAGAATAGGATATAACACAAGTCAACCCCAATAAAGTTTTTTGAGGCTCACAATCAGCACACCCAAAGTTCGGACAGCTCCTACGAAAAGGAGTTCTACTTATTTTATTGGCAAAGAAATCCTAGATCTCATATTTTGCGTCAAGGATTCTTAATTTTTAGGAACGATTTTTAAAAAAGTACTGGCTAACTGCAGAGTTTTTTTTTGAATAAATTTTATTATTCCACATGCTGGGATTATTAATTACCAATTAGAAATAGCTAGGATAGGAAAAGTTCGTGCTACTGTTGCCATTGCTAAACCTTTATGAGTGTTTCTGGGGTCAATTGGGTTCAATATACCAGGTTGATTCAATATAAGAGTTGGTTCTTAAGCTGACCTATTGGCGGTAGCGGTAACGTAAGCGACGCACAGTTTTGTAGCGGTATCCGTCCTTAGCCAGCTCAGTTCCCTCTTCGGCGTCCTTGGGCTCAGCTTCTATAGCTGGTGCTTCTGCAGGAGGAAGGTACTCGCTGTTGGGTGCCTCGGCAGCTGCCTCCCGGCGGTGGCGACGGAACTTTAAACGCCGCACTGTCTTATAGCGATAACCATCGTCGCCTAGTACGGTCTTCAGTTCGGGTGCCAGCTCAACCTCTACAGGCGGCAGATACTCGTTGCTCGGCGTCGCGACCTCGGTAACGTCACGACGGTGGCGGGTGCGGTATTTAAGCTTCCGCACGGTTTTATAACGGTACCCGTCATCGACCACCTTGGTATCACCAATAGCGGCGGCGTCCACTGGCGGCAAGTACTCTTGGGTGGGGGCTTTTACCAAAGGAGGTAGATATTCTTGGTTGGGGACTTCTCGGCGGTGACGCAGTCTTACTGTACGCACAGTTTTATATCGGTATCCGTCCTCGGACAGTTGAGCAGCCTCGCTGTCTCCCACTGGTGGAAGATATTCCGCGGACGGTTGCAAAGTGGCAGCATCTGAAGACTGGCCAGCAACGAAGGTAACCAGGCAGAGAGCAAAGGCACCAATGTGGAGTTTCTACAATGTTAAACAAATTAATATTTTCCTATTTCCATTAGATCAATTACAAAAACATTTTTAAACAAGAAAGGAAAGTTAACTTGCAGAAAGGAAAGTTCGGCGGAGCCGAAGTTGATATACCCTTGCAGTTATGATCTGGTATAAATCGTTTTTAATCAATTTATAAGAATAGAAAATTAAAAAAACGCCCAAGCTTCTATTTTCGAAAGCTTGTGACTTTTTATAAATTTGGTATTTTTATAAATTGTTAAATTAAATGTTATTTTGATATTCTTATAAGGATCGGCCAACTATATCCGATAGTTGCGATACATATCCGCAATATAAAATATATACATGCAATATATATTTTAGCTGCGAGGGTGTATCAACTCGGCTCCGCCCGAAGTTACCTTTTCTTTCTTGTTTTGATTGTTTTTAGCTGTAATCGTGCTACAACTTAAAGTCATACATACCATTTTTACAATTTAATTTTAAGTCTTCCACTGGCTGATGGTTTTACTTTGACAAAGGTATTAAAGTCAATGTTAATGTTATTTGATAAAGCTCCAATATTTATATCCAGCCCCGATTCAAATTGATCAATAGAAACAGGTTTTCAGTACCAATCGCATTCTGCCAAGAAAAATTTGAAGGGTCCTAGATCCGGCTCAAGAGCGCATCAAAGAAACATACTGACTTTATTATCCACTTATAATATGATGGCATCTGACCAAATACGTGGGATCGTGCAAAAGTTGAAGACGGATGTTGCCGAGCTATATATGTATGTACATATGTATGTATTTTTGACCACTCTCTTAAGCACAATTATTTTTGGATCTAATTTTCAATGAGTGGTCGATCTTGAGAACGTTGAATTTTGAGGGAGCTAGTTACGTCAATCAATAAACAGACGATGGGAATGCTCTATGGTAAGTATCCTATAGTATTAAGAATATCGCTCTGCTATTTTACAAATTCTTAAGTTAGTCTAGCAATCGCGTAAAATATTTATTGACCTTGGCTTTGAGTAAAAATTTTTGGAACTTGCTTCCCACTTGTTGAAGAGTTCTTAAGGTTGATTGAAATCACTATTAATTTAGAAAAATAAAAAACTATAACTAGCTTCAGGCATAGCCGAATACGTTTTCTGTAATAATAGGTTTATTTTGTAAATTTGGTATATATAGCTAATGTTGGATATAGTTGGTCGGTATAGTCATAAAAAAGATAATTTTAATATGAATCCAATGTACCAATACCAACAACATATAATTTAAAATATTTATCCTTGTAGTCATATTAAAAAGGTTATGTTAAAAAATATACAGGTAAGCCCCGGAATACAATTTTCCAATTAAAGAGTCTTTTCATATGAATTTAGTAAAAAAATATCGTTTTTATTAGGAAGGTAATATGTGGTGGCAAAATTCTACTAGACTGAATTTATAAAACACGTGTGAACCTTTTAGGGGTCATAGGCAAAATAAAAAGCAAAAAAATTAATATAGCATATTTTCAGGCCCAAGTATGTGTAACCTAAAACCAATGACAATAAGAAAGAAAATTCAGCCCTGTGAAGTTAGCAAGGACTTGTTTGAAATTGCACCCAAAAGGAGTGTATTCTTGTAGCAAAACAAGAGTACTAGAGTTCCTTATACTTTTTTAATAGTTTTGGCTATTAAAGAATATAAATTAAGAAATTAAGGTCCCATTTTCTATTTAAACCTAAAAATCGCCATTAAAAATCAAAAACGAAATATAAAGGATGGCTAAATCTATATAAAAACAAGAAAGGAAAGCTAACATCGGGCGGAGCCGAAGTTGATATACCCTTGCAGGTAAAACCGGATATATATCGCAAATATCGTATATAGTTGGCCGATCCTGATGAGAATATGATAATATAACTCAAGTTATTATTATATAGAATCTAAAAAAAATCCCAAATTTCTATTTCCAAAATACCAGAGTTGGTATTTCTACCAAAAACCATTTCCGATCGTTCAATTATATGGCAGCTATAAGATAATCCGGTCGTTATAAAATTTGGTAGGTCGGATTAACTGACCAAAAATATAATCTGTACCAAGTTCCAGCTTTCTATATTCAAAAACAAAAAGTTGGGTCAATTCCGATCGGTCAGTTGTATGGCAGCTATAGGATATAGTCGGCCGATCCTTATGAAATTTGGTAGGTCTGATTATCTGACCAAAAGTAGTATTTGTACGAAGTTTAAGATTTCTATCTTCAAAAACACGAAAGTTGGGTTATTTCCGATCGTTCAGTTATATGGCAGCTATGGGATATAGTCGGCCGATCCTTATAAAATTTGATAGTTGGGATCAACTGACCAAAAATATAATCTGTACTAAGTTTTCTATCTTTAATTACACGAAAGTTATACCATTTCCGATCAATCAGTTATATGGCAGCTATAAGATATAGTCGGTCGATCCCGGCCGTTTCGACTTATATACTGCGTGCAAAGGAAAGAAGGGTGTGTGCAAAGTTTCAAGCCGATAGCCTTAAAACTGAGAGACTAGTTCGTGTAGAAACAGACAGACGGACATGCTCATATCAACTCAGGAGGTGATCCTGATCAAGAATATGTATACTTTATAGGGTCGGAGATGTCTCCTTCACTGCGTTGCACACTTTTGACCAAAATTATAATACCCTCTGCAATGGTATAAAAACATTTTGTTATTACGTTAATGTTATTACTAGTATTAGCCATAAAAGCATTTGGAAAATAACGTAAGATTCTATGCAACAGGGGCAATTAGGGAAATTTACTACGGTCCAGTTGTAGAAATTTTTCATAACCACTTCACCAAGTTGTATTGCTTTAAAAAAAAATACAAAAATCATGTATTTAGTATTACAAGAGAAATTTATTTATTATAAATTAAATATTATGTATATTATTACAATGGGATATTACAATAACAATGAGAGTTTATTCGATATAAATTAAACCAAAATATTATATTATACGTTTCGCAAAATAGTCATTTGTAGTTATTTTGTTGCGTCCGGGGCTAAATGAAAAAAAGTTTAAATGTTGTAAAATAAATTTATACGCACAAATTGGTAGCTTGTCAAGTCCAATGTCTTTCAATTTGGAGAAGTATCCTTCAATTGAAGCCGAGGATCTTATTTTAATATCAATATCCCATGTTTTATATATTAAAGCAGTCCATAGAGGTAAATGATACATTAATTCCCGTAGATTTTTTGCTTTCACATTTTGTGCACATTTAGTATGAGTTTGTTTCATATGCATATATTCCCATCTTAAAACTCAAGTCCGATTTTCTCTGCCTCTTATATAATTTAATAGTCCAAGTCATCTATAAGTAAGACGCAGAATCGCATATCCATCACCTTCCATTCCATCTTCGCTCATTTCATTATTAATAAAATTATTTCTTATGTGTATTCGCCAAGCTCAACAATTAAAAAAGATCTCAGTGTTTCCTCAATTGTTTTTAAGACTTTCATAAGTCTAAAGTCTAGAGATGGGCACGGGCCTCAATTTTAAGGCCCGTAAGGCCCGAAGCCCGAAGCACACATTTTCAGGCCCGGCCCGGCCCGGCCCGACAATTATTCGAAAAGACCCGGCCCGGCCCGGTTCGCCCAAAAAAAAAAAAATATATCAAAATGAATGTTCAAGAAACAACTATGTGCTTTATTTTTCTTAACTTATTATAGATAATAATATGATATAATATGAAACAGAGTAGACTACGACTAAAGTCTAATGTCTAAGTTTTCGCTTTTTAGTCTAGTTCTCCTTTCGTTAAGTATTTTTCCAGATGTGGAAAACAACCGCTCACTTGTTGCAGAGCTTGCGGGAATGCATAAAACATTTTTAGCCAATGTCTGTAAAAGGTAAAAATTGTTTGCATTTTTCCAAAACGTTAAAATGCATTTTTCTTCGCTAGGTGTATTTATATATTTTTCAATTTCAATATCAACAATACTTTTTTCAGTTCTTCTTTTTTTTTGAAAAATGAGAGTCCATAAATTGCGAATACTCACTTAAATTTCCGCTTGCAACAAATTTTTTTTCAAATGTTTGCTGAGATTTAATACATTGCATGTCTGAAAGCATTGCTCTTACAGTTGCTATTATATTCTCTCTTTTTTCTTCCGATAAGAAAAGTATTTCTTTGAATGGTGGATTTAAGAACAATGCAACAAAATGCGCAGTGGTGGGCATAAATCGTGTTTCTAAACTTTTTAAAGTTTGCTTTTTTAATTCCATCATTATAGCGGAATCCACTTGTTCAGTGGAGCAAATTTGCACCAATTTGAAATACCATAAAGGATACAAGTGGATTGTCGGCTCTTTATCGGAACTCATTTTTTCCGAGCATTCTTTGAAATGCTTAAGGAATTCCAAAATAGATTCCAACATGGAAAAGTCCAAAAAAGCTATTCGATGGAGCTAATTTTTTTCAATTAAAAGACGTTTATCGTCATTTTGAACTTCATATATGCTGTTAAGCATTATAAATATCGAATTCCACCTAGTCACTTAGTCACCTAGTCACTTCACGTTTTTGGCAATTTGCTGTTGAGATTTGAGTGCTTGAAAGTATTTAACAAGTTTTTTCGCACAATCAATTAAAGACTTTATATCTGGAATGGGATTTTTTCCAGCACATCGTTCATTACAAGATTTAAGTTATGGCATGCACAAGAGAGCCTTTTCAATTGTTTAAATGCAGCCACGACATTGGCGCCATTGTCAGTTACAAAGACTGAAGAATTTAATTTTTGTTTGTTCTTTTGTTTCGTGCTACTGTTGCCATTGCTAAACCTTTATGAGTGTTTCTGGGGTCAATTGGGTTCAATATACCAGGTTGATTCAATATAAGAGTTGGTTCTTAAGCTGACCTATTGGCGGTAGCGGTAACGTAAGCGACGCACAGTTTTGTAGCGGTATCCGTCCTTAGCCAGCTCAGTTCCCTCTTCGGCGTCCTTGGGCTCAGCTTCTATAGCTGGTGCTTCTGCAGGAGGAAGGTACTCGCTGTTGGGTGCCTCGGCAGCTGCCTCCCGGCGGTGGCGACGGAACTTTAAACGCCGCACTGTCTTATAGCGATAACCATCGTCGCCTAGTACGGTCTTCAGTTCGGGTGCCAGCTCAACCTCTACAGGCGGCAGATACTCGTTGCTCGGCGTCGCGACCTCGGTAACGTCACGACGGTGGCGGGTGCGGTATTTAAGCTTCCGCACGGTTTTATAACGGTACCCGTCATCGACCACCTTGGTATCACCAATAGCGGCGGCGTCCACTGGCGGCAAGTACTCTTGGGTGGGGGCTTTTACCAAAGGAGGTAGATATTCTTGGTTGGGGACTTCTCGGCGGTGACGCAGTCTTACTGTACGCACAGTTTTATATCGGTATCCGTCCTCGGACAGTTGAGCAGCCTCGCTGTCTCCCACTGGTGGAAGATATTCCGCGGACGGTTGCAAAGTGGCAGCATCTGAAGACTGGCCAGCAACGAAGGTAACCAGGCAGAGAGCA